CTTTGCCGGAGGCGGAATTGCCCCACCCTTGTGAGTCCCGGCCAAGCAGTCTGCTCGGGTTTGCTCTCGGGAGCTTTTGTTCCCTGCAAGCTCTCCGCACAGCTTTGGAGGACCAGGGTGAAAATGGTGGCCTCCCAATCTCCGCCCAGAGGAGCCAAGAACTCGGGGCCCCGCTCCTCAGTGTGCCCCCAGAGAAAAGCAGTCACTCCCGTGTCCCCGGTCTCTGGCTGCACTCCATGCTCACCCGGCCCATGACCGAGCGTTTCTATCTCTGGTGCCCGAACCCGTGTGGAGTCTCCACACCCAGCAGATCCCTGCGGTGTGCTCCTGCGCCGCTCCTCCCGGGGAAAGAAGGGGAGTCTCCCCGGATCTGCCGCTTGTTGGGTCCCTGCTGGAGGAGCAGTGGCCCGACTGGGCTGCGGATCACAGTTTATGGCAACCCTGAGCCGAGAGCCCGCGCCTCGGCTCCGTCTCTGCAGCCGGCTTCCCCGCTCCAATACCCGGGAGCTCTGCTGCACTCAGGCACCCCCGGTCTTTCTGTGACCCCGAGGGTCCTGAGACCACACTGTCCCGCGAGGGTTCCATCCCCCGCTTAGCCACTGGAGCGACGTCCCTCAGCGGAGCCGACTTCCAAAAGTTCCGATTTTGTGCTCCGCGGCTCCAGCACTTGCCAGAAGCGGCCGAGGGAGGCCCCTCCCCCGCCGTGTATCCTCCCGAATGTCGCCTCGGATTCACTTCTCCGCACGTCCTACCTTCCAGAAAGTGGTCACTTTTCTGTTCAGAGTGTTGTTACTATTCTTATCTTCGATCTCCTGTTGAGTTCGTAGGTGTTCAGAATGGTTTGATCCCTATTCAGCTGAATTCCTGAGACCAGACGAAATCCAGGTCTCCTACTCCTCTGCCATCTTGCTCTGCCCTCGGTAATATTTACATCTTAACAGTGGTTTACTTTGGGAATACAGTCTTGGGACTACGGATGATTATTTACTCTTTTATTTTTTGGAACTTTCTGGCTTTTCTGATGCCTAAGTATTTTTGTAGGTCCTATTGTAAAATATATTTTAAAATAGTTTCAACCAGATGATCTACCCCTCAGAATTTTCCAGAAAAATAACTTGGGTTCTGTTGATCTTTAACCACTAAACCCTGAGTGATTGTTTCTTTTCTTGCCAAACTTTGAAGACAAAGTTAATTGCATTACAAATTATAAATACACGGTGAATAATGTATACTAATACTTTTATATATCTTTTAATATTGAAATAAAATTTAAAATATCAAATTATAGCCAACAACAGAGAAACAATGGTGAACAAAAGCATTTCCATATGTGTTTCATTGATGTTTATAATTTGAAAAAAGGGAATTAGAAAGTAGAAGATATATGTACTGGATTACTTTTAGGTTGAATGACTTTTGGTTTAAAGGCATATTGGTTTCAAAACCATATGTGATCCCTTATACCTAAGAGGGATAAACATTTATAGGGAAAGATAATACATTATATTCACTTATTCAGTTGAATTTTCCCATTTCATGATTACACATTCATTCCAATATATGAATTTTGAGGGTCTCTTTGTGGTGCTGTGTGCAAGAAACATGGTTATTAAAGGTGCTATGTTATTTAAACATTCTCAAATAACCTTATCAGGACTGAAAAAAATATCAGGCAAATAGTGGATAGGCTTGAGATAGGAAATTGTCAAGCTGAATGTTCTCTTAGAACAATTTGACTGTTGGACCCTGGCTGAACAATAGCCACAAACTCAGGTGAGATTCAGTTATTCAGTGGAAGAGAATAAAGAGAAAAGGGAGTTCTTGGGATGAACGGACTGAATAATGGTCTGTTTGGAGCTGAAGCTTAGTATGGCCTTTTCCTAGAGAGACACAGTCAAGGCCTTTACCCAGGAAGTCCACATGTCTTTGGAGCAGGAATAAGTTTCATGACTTGAGGGAGTTTCTTACTCATCGTACAGGAAAACATAGTGAGGATACATGCTCGGGCAGGGGTAAAAATGGTTGGTATGCAATCAAGAAAGCAAGGCAGACTTTCAGGAGCCAGAAAGAAAAAGAATTGACCAGAGCCTGAACTCAGGGGATTGTTCAAAGTCACTTTGAAAATCTTCTTCTTGCTGGGCTCTGTACTTGCCCTATGTCCCTCTATTTTCACATCGGTATTCACAAATGAAGCAAATGTGCCCAAAGGAGCATACTTTTCTTTTCCCGGCATTAGTTCGAGAATTTCTTGGTAAGTTTTGAGAAGTCCTGAGACTAATATGGAGACAAGCACATCAATCAGTATCACAAATTATAACATTCGAAACGACTTATTTTTATTGGTAGTGAAAGCAACAAAGTCCTCCCGAAGTCCCTATGGAGTCCTCATTAAATGTGGCACACAACTTCTCTCAGGTTGGAGTTGGGTTCATGCTCTTGTGCCTCCATATTTATGCATTTCAGTTGTGCTTTCTGCTCTTAGAGAATTTTTTTGTTGCTTGAGACATTTATTTCTGGCATTTCACAAATCCGAAACATATTGAAGAAACAAGGCACATCATTCCAATTTTTCCTGGGATTTGAAGAGTCTCGGATGGTGGCACAGTCCTCCACTGTCACTATATTATTGGGCTCCCCGACATCCCAGAAGCTGAAAGAGAATAATGCAGGAGATTTAAAATCCCAGCTACAAGAAGTCAAGTCATCTACTATGCTAGGCAAATGACATTTGTGTTGTATAACTTCACAACAGTTTCATTAGTTAGGCATTATAATCTCCATTTTATTTTTTTTAAAAAAAGATTTTATTGATTTATTTGGCTGAGAGAGAGGAAGTGCACAGCAGGGGGAGAGGCAGAGGGAGAGGGAGAAGCAGACTCCCTGCTGAGCAAGGAACCCCACTTGGAGCCTGACCCCAGGACCCCGAGATCACAACCCGAGCTGAAGGCAGACGCTTAACTGACTGAGCCACCCAGGTGCCCCTATAATCTCCATTTTATTGATAAGGAAAAGGAATCCCAGAAAAGCTAAACCATTTGTCTAAGTCATAGAGTTTATGAGGAGTGAAGCTGGACTGGATATTCCTGACATTCTATTCTGTCATGCCCCCTCATGGTTGTCCACCCATAATGAGTAGCTATTGATATTCTCGTGGGTTTGTTTCCTTCACACTCATATCTCATCTTAAGTTTGGTTCCTTATATTCCACACGGAGTTTGTATTCACTTAGGTACATACCTCAGTGGTGTTACAGTGCTGTAGTGAAGCAACTTTCTAAAGTCTCAGCACATCTGGCCTGTACTCTTAGAACTGACATTAACCTTCCTGACCTTTAGTTTCCTCAAATGCTAAGTGAAGATTAATAATATCAATGTATCTCAGAAAGGTGTAATTTAGGTAAAATGAAATAATGAATGAGATAAAAACTTTGAAAACTCCAAAGTGCTGTGCTCTCATGATGTAAGGTCATTATTAAGGAGAAAAGAGACACTCCATAAATATGCCTTTCAAATCACTATTTTTGTCTCATTTACTAGTTTGGGGCATAAGATTCTGAATTTCACTCTGTCTTTGCGGCATTTCCAATGAATTAGTCTTTAATTCTAACCCTCTCCTTCTTTTCATCTGTTATTTCCCCTTTATTCAGATAGTCTCAGGAATTGGGAGCACTAGATCCTCATGCTTCCTTCATCTATCTTCTTGCGTGTCATTGTCACCAAAGGTTGACCTGAAGATATCTCGTGGAACAGAAGGAGGTTCTGAGAACTCCCTGCAACAATGGTCTAACTCTGGGATTTGAGACAGTGTTATAATTCTCCTGCAAGAAGGAAATTACCTGAGAGTTTCTGACAAAGGTGTTCCATCTACCCATTGCCACTGACCCTCATTCACCTGGTCTGTCAGTCCAATATAGAACTCTCTCCTTTTAGGTTTCACAAAGAAAAGGAATTCCTATGGAAGCAACACAATTAAAAAAAAAATAGGAGATCAATTATTCCAATTTTGAACAAATGTTGAAGGTAATTGTTATTAAAAGATAAAGTACGACATTTACTACAGATAATAGATAAGTGGCTCTGAAAGTGTAAGATCATGGAGGATTATCTCCTCATTTTTTTTCATTGTGGTAAATCTTTAACGGAGAAGGAGGTTCTCAATAACTCATTCACAGTTTATCTACTGTTATTTGTAGCAAAATCTACTGTATATATCCAGCATGAAACATTATTCATCACAGCTTAAAGATAGTGGACATATCTTTGACATATCTGACATAATCATGTGACATGCTCATCAACATAATAGCCATTCTAAAATGAACTCCCAGCCCTTTCCCCCGCCCCTGCCCCATCTTCCTAATAAAGAAACTGAACATGGAAATTCCCTTTTTTTTTAGGCTCTTCTAGTGATGAAAATAGAGTAAGTATCGACTTACAGAAATAGTAGGAACAGCATGCATTTCAATACATTCATTTAACAAATAGTAATTGTGGCCCAAACACTGTATACACATATGGAGAAAGGGATAGATCCCGTGGAGAAGGTCACATTGACAGCAGAGGAGGCTGCACTCCAACTACCTGCTCCTCCTGTGTGTTGATAACAACCAGATGGGCTCCCATGTTGGAGCAGTTTTTTAAACTTGATGCCCAAGACATGGTGTTAGTAGAAAAGAAGTAGCAGCTAGATTGAAAATGTACCCAGTCCGATGGACAGCAATTCTTGACTGAACCTAGGAGGAGAGAAGTTTCCATGAGTGTCCTAGCCCAGTGGAGCATCATGTAGCATTTTGCTAAGACTTGGAACAAGACTATATATATAAGAGCACAGGGAGTATATTTCTGAGATATTTCCAAATTCCCTATTCTCTATATTTTTTTCTCCTTCACTTCATTTGGAAGCAAATGAAGAATGAAAAGAAAATGCATTCCTGGAGATAATACCTTCCACTTCTAGATTTTCTGTTGAGACATATCTCAAATTTATTCTAAAAGTTTTCTATAATGTCCCTAAGATTTCCTGTCTCGATGCTAATTGCATTTTCAAAGTTCTAGAACTGTTTTCTTACCAATTCCTCAACATTCTTATATAGTACAGGCAAGATTTTACATTTCGTTTTTGAAAAACAGAACATCATCCAACTACTTTATTTGTCTCCAAATCAATCTAGAAGCCAAAAAAAAAAAAAAAAAAAGTGTTGATATAAGGGCTCCTGGGTGGCTCAGTTGTTTAAGCATCTGCCTTTGGCTCAGGTCATGATCCCAGGGTCCTGGGATGGAGCCCTGCATCAGGCTCTCTACTCAGCGGGATGTCTGCTTCTCCCTCTGCTCCTCCCTGACGTTCATGCTTGCACTCTCTGTCTCTCTCTCTGAAATAAATGAATAAAATCTTTAAAAAAAGTGTCGATATATAAATGTTGATGTTCAAATTTGAGGACTATTATACCCGATCCATCATTGGAGCAGGAGAAGTCCATGAATGCCTCATGTAGCTGGAACTTATTCTCATCACAGAGTTGAAAGACACGATATGTCACTGTAAAGAAAGGGTCAGAGTTAATGTTCATTATTCTTGATAAAAATAAATTTTATCATTTTTATATTTATAACAAAAGTACCAATAATCATCATGGTTTCCTTTTCTTTTCTTTTCCTCTTTTTTTTTTTTTCTATTTGTCCTTCTACACAGAGAGGCACCAAGATTTACTTAGTCAAAGAAAGAAGAGGGAATTCACATTTCATGGTTTTCCTGATTTATGAAGATGAATGTACTTTATTTCAGGTCTAAAGGCCCAGAGAAAACAAATGCATTTTCACTTTCTCTTATGCCAACCCTCCCTACCTTTCTTCCAAAAAGTGATTTTGTCATGCCTCTGGCTAGGATCCCATAGAGAAGCTTACCCTCATGATAGGAGTACAAAGGGGAAGACTCAAGGCCACCAAGGAGATGAAAAGTGTCTATCATTAAAAATGTGTCAGAGGTCGCTGAAATTTGGTAACCGTTCTGTACTAGTTGGGGTTCTAGTTGAGCAATAACCTGGAGATAAATACCCTTTTGGGGGGGAAGAGAACCCACAGGCAACAAGAAAGATTTTACTCCTAATATTCACCAGGGAGATTAAACTTGACCTTTTGAACTCACCAACACATCTGGTGATAAAACAGGCACTGAGCACTAGCATGGAGACCCCAGCAACAGTCCATAAGAGCACTTGGGAAGACAAGCATCTTTTCTCTGTAGAAAGAAATACGCAAACATGGTCAATCTTCCCCGAGCAAGATACAAAAGAAATTCTTATTCAACCACTTATCTCCTTCCCACTTGCACTGTTCTATATGGAGTAATTCTCAAACTTCAGCATGCATCAGAATCATTCGGACGGTGTGTTGAAAGACAGGTGATGGCACCTCACCTCTAGAGTTAACAATTCATTAGACCTGGTACTGAGCCAGCAAGTTCCCAGAAGCTGCTGAAGCTGTTGGTCTGGAAACCATCTTTCGGAACCACTAGAACAAGCCATTGCTAATCTTAAGATTCGTGAACTGAGACAGATGGGCAATTTTTCCTTCCTAAGTCTCCCAGATTTTTCCCCTTCTTTTCCCATCTTTCCCTTTCTCCCTCTTGCCCCCTCTGTTTTTCTTGTCTCTCTCCTGCTCTCCTCTTTTCGGTGTTTCATTTCCCAAACCCTCTGTATCAATTCAGATAAAACGTTGGCCATGCTCTAGTAGCTCCTCTCCCCCCTCCCCCCCGCCCCATACACATTTTACAGACAGGAAAGTGGGTTGCAGAGAAGTGAGGTGATTTGCCCAACACAACACAGGGGAAGGGTGGGCAGAGCAGTCTGATTCAGCTCCCTGGAATCCAGCCCAGTGATCCTCAGTACAACATATGGTCCCTAACCACTGCCTCAGCTTCCTCTCTTGCGTTCTGTCTCTGTCTCCCTTCTTTTGTTCTAGTGGAGACTTTTCTATTGTCCCGTCCCTCAAAGTATTTATCACCTCTTCCCAAAAGAAAGATCTATGAAAGAAAGGGAGAGTTGCAAATGTTACCTGTGCCTTGTGATGTAGATGGTTGGCATGAATTCATTCTCTCCCTCCCTTTCTCCCCCTTTCCCTCTCTCTCTCCTCTCGTCAGTTTCTGAGTCTTGCTGGTAAGATTCAAGGGAAATGAATCTTTTTCTGTTTTTTAGGAAGTGCCACCCTAAGACATTATAATATTAACGTGTCCTGTGGCTTTGTGTTTCAGTCAGGGTTTCCTTTCTTGCATAAGGAGGACAAGGGATTTTACTGGGTGACAAGTCTGACAAGTCTGTCTCCTACTTCAGGAAACAACTAAATGGGGGCATGGTGAAGTGGTTAAATATCAACAGAAATGGGCTGAGCATGCAGACACATCAGGGGCTGAAAAATACTGGTGGAAAAATTTTGGTGGATAAAATTTCTCTACTTTCTTGTAGGCCTCACTCATTCTTCAGTCTGCCCTTGACATTTGTGGGGCCCTCCGCTGCACTTCTAATTTCACTTTCAGTCCTTGCCACCACACATTTGTTAACTGGTAAGGGGGCAGACTCCAAATCTTCACACTTGGCACAGAGCTGCGCGTATAGTATACGCATTTACAACTTAGCCATGTGAATTCCTTTTCCTATTTTATGTTTTTTTCTTCCGCCTTCACTTGCTTCTCTTGAACCTTCTGGATTTCTCTCGTGTTGTGTATGTTGCATTGTGGGTTTGTATCTCTTCTATCAAAGTGTTCAACACTAGGCAATCTCACAGGTCTACTCCAGTTGAACCGCCTCACGTGTTATGACTACTTTGAAATTCAGCTCCATTCCTCATGTCAAAACAGCTTCTGGAGCCTTCGAGACTCAGCAAGTAGTTTCATTCTATTCTTCTAAATTATTTAGGGATTTTTGTTTTATATTAGGGCCTATTTGAGGAGAAATAAATTTGAATGTCAGAAGAAACAATTTCAGTTAGACATGAAAATATCATGCTTCTCTGGAAGGTTAGTTAGATGTAGTAGTGTTCCACTCCTTTCCTTAAAAATACTTAAGGGGGGTGGGGGGATGGGTTAGCCTGGTGATGGGTATTAAAGAGGGCACATTCTGCGTAGAGCACTGGGTGTTATGCAGAAACAATGAATCATGGAACACTACATCAAAAACTAATGATGTATGGTGATTAACATAACAATAAAAAATTTAAAAAAATACTTAAGAACAAGATCAAACTGGTCTCTATGGATTAAAATTACACAAGTGTCAGAAGGCATTAGTAATGTATATATATATATATATATGTATACATATATATATATGACCTGGTAATCCCCACACCAATGACTCACAGACTTCACATCTTAGAAAATATCCTTGTTCTCAATGGGACTTTTTATTGTTTCAATGTATTGCTCAATTTCCTCTGCATCCTCTATTTTATAGTTATATAGATTTATTAAAGAAAATTTTAAAATTCTACATGTATATATCATAAAATATTTGCACCTCTAACATGGATCTTATCAGCCCTTGGTTTTTGACCAGTAAAAAAAAGATGATCTAGTGGATGAGTTAAGTGAATTATTAAATGATGAATCATAATAACTACAGTCAATAATTTGTTATGATCAATCAGTAATAACTAATATCAATAAATGATTATATGTTAATATAGGAATTATATAATACGATTATATGTTAATATGAATATGCAATTAACTAATATTACTAACCAACAAATTAATATCTTAATATCAGTCAAAATATGTATATGTTTTTATTCTTTGTTTTATCACTTTTATAACTGATTATAATTTTATCACCAAATTACAAAAGTAATATTTTTATGGTTAACAATATGAGAAGAATGTGGCAAATAAAAGACCTCCCATCTGTCCTAAGTGCACTCTTCTAAAGTCAACCATGCTTGGGGCACTTGGGTAGCTCAGCTGGTTAAGTGTCTATCTTCAGCTCAGGTCATGATCCCAGGACAAGTCCCACATCAGGCTCCTTGCTCAGTGGGGAGCCTGCTTCTCCCCCTACCTGCCACTCCCCCTGCTTGTGCTCTCTCTCTCTCTCACTCAGATAAATAATAATAAAAAAAAAGATTTAAAGTCAACCATGCTTAATGATTTCTTGCATATACCTTGAGACATTTTCCAAGCTTATATAAGTCGAGTTTATATAAGATATTGCTTATTCATTTTTAGTCAAATAAGATCATACCTGAAATACTTTTATGTGTTAAAAATTACTGTTATATTCATCAATGTATTTGGGTATCTATCTTCTTAACTCTAAACTTTTCTGCAATTTATAAATGGGCACAAATAATTTCTAGTTTTTCCTTAAGGTAATGGCTACCTTTATACATATTTACAGGTGCTCACTATTTGGCTCAATGATACATGCCAAATGTTGAAAATCATTATTTGGCTTGAGCTTTCATCATAGAATAACATTCTGGGCTATAACCATAAATATAAAATTTTGTCTGAAGGCAATTTTCTTTTTCTTTTTTAATATTTTTAAATATTTTTTATCTATTTTTAAAGATTTTTATTTATTTATTTGACAGAGAGAGACACAGCAAGGGAGGGAACACAAGCCGGGGGAGTGGGAGAGGGAGAAGCAGGCTCCCCGCGGAGCAGGGAGCCTGATGTGGGGCTTGATCCCAGGACCCCGGCACCATGACCTGAGCCGAAGGCAGACGCCTAACAACTGAGCCACCCAGGCGCCCCTGAAGGCAATTTTCATTGCAATTAAATATTAAAGCCTTATTAGAGAAGTGTAACACAACACCATTACATTTGGGAGCATTAATTACTCGACAGAGCAGCTGGTACCTGACTCTTGTGATCGGTACGCTGCTATTTTTTTATATGATACAAATTTCCTCTTCACTGTGGGAGAATAGAGAACAAGATATTTTTGAATATCTTACTCTTCTCGAATCCCTTCTTATTCCTACTCTTAAACAACAAGAATTTCTTTCTGTATCAAATATGATTTTCCATGAATTTTGTTAAGTAAGATTTTGGAATTTTTCTCCCTTATGAAATTTCAAGGTGGCAAAATTTATGTTCTGCTCTTAATTCATCTGTGCAAGATGTGAAAAATTCCCATGTAGAATTTAACTTAAAAGCCTTGTAGCCTAAATGGAAGTTAAATAAAACAAATGATTTATCTCATTTTTTAAAGAATATTATATCTAACAGAGGTATTCTGCAAAGACTAAAATTAGGCTATAATTAATTTCTGTTACATTTGTATTATTATCTCAAATTTTATAACTGTATGTGAAGCATATTATTTAAATTTTGGTGAATAATTTTATTAAAGCTATCCAGACATTGTACCCTTTTCTTTTGAGATTTATATACTTATTTTAGAGAGAGAGAGATAGCACGAGCAGAAGGGACAGGGAGAGGGAGAGGGAGAGAGAGAATATGAAGCAGACTCCACACTGAGTGTGGAGCCCAACACGGGGCTCCATCCCAGGACCCTGAGATCATGACCTGAGTCAAAACCAAGAGTCAGACACTTAACCAACTAAGCCACCCAGGTGCCCCTGCACTCTTTTTAAATATTTGTAGTTATTACCAATTTTCCTATTTATTTATTTTTTTTATTTTTATAATTTACAAATAGAGAGCTTCACAACAGAGATGGTAAGAATATAACCATTTGAAATGGTGGCTGTGTGATGATGATTAGATCAGAATGCACATTCCTGAGGGAATTACTTGACTTGCACGTCCTAAGCCCTCAGTTAGGTTTGGCTGTAGCCTCCTCTCCCTTCCAGTTCAGATCTGTTTGGAGCAGATTGGGAAGAGGGAGCTACAGGTCTATTGAGGACTCAGTCAGAGATGAGCTAAGTCACAGGAATAGCATGTAAAGCACAAGAAGGAAGCAAGCAGCTTTCATTGAAGTCCTAATGAGATCTGTTTGTGGGACAAGAACAAGTTATTCATCTGCTTTTTACCCAGGCTCATCCCAATTTGATGTTACTGCCTTTGGTTCTAAAAATCCTGCTTTAGGCTTCAGTCAGCTCCCACTGCATTTTGGCAGCTGAAAATCAAATCTCTTTCCTCTGGCAATAGAACCTCCCCATAGAACTACCTTTGATATGTTGATAATGCTGCCCTTGTGCTTCTCATGTATCTCAATAAAGGAAAGTGTTATTTCCTATCACGAATTCAATTATCACCTTTTTCCTCAGTTTCTAATCAACAGTGGCCTTTAATGTTTGAGAAGATTTGCTCTGTGAGCTCTATGATATTTGCAAAGAGAAAGGGAATGGAGAAGAATGTTAGAGCTCAACGCAGTGATCTAATTAATACATTCATCACAAACAAGACACTGTGTCCCAAATAGGAGAGATTATTTGCTGGAGATCATGTAAATATTGAGTGGCAGAACAAGGTGTAAGACTCAGATCCTCATATCAGTGGTTGGTGCTGTTTTTTCCTATTTCTTGCCTGCCTCCTTACTAGCGAGTACGTTTTCTCGCAAAGGCAGTTGAGAAAATAAAGTTGCCTTTACACGGTCTGCCATCAAAAGGCCGCAAACCCTGGATTTAAAGAGCAATCATGGAATTTTGACTGCCTTTTCTCTGAATTTACAAAGTAGAGCAAAGGAAAACACACATTCTCTACATATTTGTAATTTCATGTGTGAATTAAACAATTCATAAATTTTTATTGAGCTATAATTTACAGGTAGCATTGTATAAATTGAAGACATACAACATGTTGTTTTGATACAGTTACATATTACAGTATGATTACCACTGTAGCATTAGCTAACACCTCTATCACATCATATAGTTATTGTTTCTTTTGCGTAGAAGTAAGATCTGGTCTCTTTGTAACTTGGAAGTTTATTTTATAATGTAATATGGTTGACTATAATCTCCATGCTTGGCATTAAGTCTTCAGGGGTTATTTCTCTATTAGCTGCATGTTTGTACCCTTACATAACATCTTCCCAAATATTTAATTGAGCATCAGCAATGTGGATGGGATAGAAGGTACCTGTTTGTGAGGGTATTATCATAGTAATTCAAGTAGGAAAAAGGAACAGTGGTGTAAGATATACCTCCACAGCTACCCTCTAACAGTACTAATCATTTGTTATTTACTATATGTCACTCACTGGGTTAAGCTGTTTTCACAAGTCTCATTCAATGATCACAACAATCAATAATGAGGTCCTATTAATCTCATTTTAATGATGAGTAAATTGAGTCAAGATGGAGAGGTTGAAGGACATTTCTCCATGCATTAAGATGTAGGAATGAGATCTTGCCATTTGC